GCAATTAGAAAAGAGAAAGAAATAAAAGAGATATGGATAGAAAAGGAAGAAATTAAATTATCATTACTTGCAGATGACATAATCTTCTGAGTAAAAGACCCCAAAACTCTACCAAAAGATTCCTATAATATCCCCATGCAAAAGATTAAACGTACTAAGCAGTTTCTTTCCCTTCCACAATGCCTATTCTACCTTTTAGATTTTATTTCCTCTTTTCAGGTTCTTACACTAGTGAGACAATACATTGTGTACACATGCAGGTTTGATTTATTTCACTTATGAGTATGGTCTCTAGTTGTGTCCATTTACCTATAAAAGCCTCAAGTTTATCTTTCTTTATAGCTGAGTAATATCCCATTATATAATAATACCACAACTTTTTTATCCATTCCTCAGTGCATGTGCATTTGGGTTGCTTCCATGATTTAGCTATTACATATTGCACTGCTATAAACATGGGTGTACATATATATCACTGTGATATGGTGGAAAAGAGAAGAGAAAGAAGAAAGAAAAAGAAAAAAAAAGAAAGAAAGATATGTATATATGTATACATAAGAAAGCTAAGATAGTTGTACTACTGATTTCTATTGCTTTATTGAAAGGAACAGTGAATGTTTAATTGTTTGATCAGTCTCACATGCCTATATTTGTTTATCTGAGTAATCATTTGAAGACATCAATATGTAATAGAACAACCACTGTTAATTCCCTATCACCTTGTCTGAAATTCTGTATTGCTTGTATTGTTTTTGTGTTATTTTGTGGATGTCTGCATTTGTTAATATGTTTTCATTCTTTTATCTTAAAAATAAAGATTGAACCTAGACCTATATCTCACCATGCACTAGATAAAATCAAAATAAATCAAGTCTCTAAATATTAAAACAGAAACAATCTGTTGAAGGACAAAATAGATAAATAGATGTGTCTCTTGAAGACACAGGTGTAGACAAAGACTCTCTGAGCAGAATCACAATTGCACAAGAATACCAAGAAATCAACAAATGGGTTCCCATCAAATTAAAAAGTTTCTGCTCAGCAAAGGAAACAGAATGAAGAGATAACCTATAGACTGGGAAAAAATTTTGCCAGCTACTCCTCAGACAAAGGGCTAATATCTAGAATACATAAAGAACTGAAAAAAATTAAACCCCAAAATTTAAAGACCTAATCAAAAAATGGGTATCTTTGCATGGGCATTTTTACCCATGAGTAGACACTTCTTAGATGAAGAAGGACATATGGCCAGTAGATACCTGAAAAAATGTTCAACATCACTGGCCATTTGAAAGATGCATATTAAAACAACACTGAGATTCTATTTCACTCCAGAAAGAACAGCTATCATCAAGAAATCAACCAATAACAAATGCTGGGGGGGGGGGGAAGGAACACTTCTTCACTGTTCGTGGGAGTGTAAACTGATAAAACCATTATGGAAATCAGTATGGTGATTCCTCTAGTAACTAAAAATAGAAACCCCAGCTATTCTCCTTTTAGGCATCTTCCCAAAAGAGTTAAAGACACCATGTTACAGTAATACATGCATACCCATACTTATAGCAGCACAATTCATAACAGATAAATATTGTAAGCAGCCTATGTGCTGTTTAACAAATGAATGGATAAAGGAGAATATGGTATTTACTAAACACAATGGAGTACTATTCTGCCATAAAGAAGGAAAAGCTTGAGTCATTTCTAGGAAAATGAGATCATAATGTTAAGTGAAATAATTGCCTGCCTGGCAAGCGCAGGGTCCTGAGTTTGATTCCCAGTACCAAAAATAAATTAATTAATTAAATTTAATTTAAAAATTTAAACTGGGTATGGTGGTGAATATCTATAATCCCAGCACTTGGGAGGCTGAGGCAGGAGGATCGCTTTAAGTTTGAGGCCAGCCTGGGCTACAAAACGAGACCCTGTCTCAAAACATGATCCCATTCTCCTAGAAATGAGTGAAATAAATCAGACACAAGAGCTCAAATATCACATGGTTTATCTCATATGAGAAACATAAATAAATTCAAAATAAAAAACAATAGGAGGGAAGGAGAAAAGAAGTTATTGTAATCCAGCATGGATAGTGTATCTAAAAGTGTACTTTGATTTAGTATAATTGTTTTAGGTGTTTTATACTTTTTTACCTGATAGTATGATTGTTAATCTGTACATCTGTTAATTAACTTTATAAGGACTTATAAAATAAATAAATGAATCAGACGCTGGCAAAAAGATTTTAAAAGGCATAGAGGGAAAGAAGGATAAAAAGAACTGAGGTGTGCCAGGTACATGTATCAGTCCCCCACAGTGAAGGTGATCATTATGTCCGGCAAACATACACTAATAAAAATTAAAATTTAAAAAAATTTAGCCTCAGGAGAAGCTGGCTGTAGCCCCCAATTCCATGACAAGCGCCCTTGGTGAAATGCTTGTTACAAGTATAGATCAGGACAGGTATGTGACCCTGTTCCAGCCAATGAAACCTGTGAAGACATTTGCCAACTAAATAAATAAGAGTTTCTTTGCTTCAAGCAGAGAGTCCTGGGGTAGACATCCTTTCTCTTCCTCTGGATACTTAAGAGTCTGCCAGGGGTGAGTAGACATCTTGCTGTCAGCCTAAGGTTGGAGCCAATACTAAGAACCCTAAATCAGAAATATGAGGAGAGCCAGGTTCATGATGACTCTGCTGAAGCACTAATTTAACCAGCCTTGAAGACAGCCTCTTCCTGAAATTCTGCTTGTATGAAATTATTACACTTCTGTTTTACAGCAACTTTGAGTTGGGAAAATCAATTCACTGCACCCAAAAACGCCTCAAGTTAAACAATGCTTACCGTGTGCCAACCACTGTGCCCTATAAGCATTACTTCACTTACCCTTGTGACAATCCCATACATGAATGATATTGTTATCCCCATTCTCCCCTGGGAGAAAATAAAACTAAGTCTTGAAGAGATTAATTAATCTGGTCAGAATGAGTTGGTAAGTGGTAGAAGAGTAGATTCAAAATTTAAGCAGTCAGACTCCAGGGTCTGCACCTGTGACCTCCGTGCTGTGCAGCCCAGAAAAGGAAGAGACTTGCTCCCAAAAGCACAGTCGACACAGTGCTCCTCAGTCCTCCTGTAATGGGGATGACCTCAGTGTGTTCGCCCCCCCACCCCTTTCACCAAGGCATCCCTTTTCCTGGGTCCCATAGTAGGCCTTAAACGAGTGGCCTTCCCTCCAAGCACATTCTCTGGCTCTCTAGCCTCGTCTCCCTTCCACCTCCTGCTTAATTTCTGCCTTTTAGACTCATTAACTGACTTTTTTCAGCCACTGAGAAGAGGCATGTGACTCTTGTGGAAAATCCCTCATGGCAAGAGTGAGATCACTGGCAGTAAGGAGTTCTCACCAGCAAAGAAATTAGGCTGTCTGCTGGGGACGTAGAGGATGAGTTGGCAGCTTTCCCATACTAATTGGTTGCAGTCTTGATTCAGTGGGTCTCCCAAGCCAGCTGACAGCCCAGCAGTGTCCAGCAGTCAGGCAAGGAAAGCAGGCAGGCACTTGATGCTGCCTCAAGCTCCTGAGCCGCTGGGAGCTCCACCACAGGAGCCTCACAGGCCTCAGATGGTCCATTAGTGAGAGGACGCACTGGTGAAGACAACAGCATCGTGCGAACATGATGAACAGCAATGGGAGCCCACTCTTGTACTGTGAGGTTCTTACAGTGGGAAATGGGAAGACAGTAGGGTGTCATAGTTGTAAGCATGGACTGCAGTTAAGCAGGTGTGGATCTGGTTTAATTATCTGCTAGATGTTAAATAAAAAATGAGTAATGGAATTTCTCTGAACCTACTTCCATCCTCTATCAAACACACATGTATGCGTCTATGAAGATTGGATTATTGAACATAATTCCTGGTAGACAGTAATGTTCACTGCCCTAAAAGATAAATGATTTTGGCTACAAAGATGATGACGATATTAATGATGATGAAAACTTGAATGGATAGAGAACATATGATCATTCTCATGGTCAAAGTGTCTCCTTTTTAATAGCAAGACAAGTCCCAGTCTTGTTGGAAACGACTGCCTCTAATTTCCCCCCTGCTACATCTTTCTTCCTCCGTAATAAAAGCACAGTTCAGTACTCCTGAACTATAACCAAAGAATCAAGAGACTCTTCTGTGGATGGTGACAAAGATGACTTCCCACTGAATCAAACTGAGTTAATGGTAAACATTCATCATACCTCAGTAGAGCCAATTAGCCTACATGTAGAGTTGGATAAAGTGAACCAACACAAATACGGTAGATCTCAAGACAGAGTTGGTTACAGCAGAACCAGTCTAGGTGAGCCCTCCTCCTTGGCGCTAGTACTGGTTTGGTGCTGCTCCATGGTGGCTCCATCACCAGAGGTACAGTGGCACACATCTGGACCTGAGTAACAACATGTTGTCTTCTTTGCTCCAGCCCAAGGTGGGGTAGCTGCCACTTTCTGTGGCTTCTTCACTCTGGGTTACCTCAGTTTCTTTTTTTGTTCTTTTATCACTTTCAATGCTCGTTATTTGGAGTAAATCCCCTTTCCCCAGGGCCACCCACTGACACACATAAACAGCAGCCCAGGCTTCCTCACAACATAGTGGCCAGGGTCCAAGTATTGGCAGAAACTGTATTGTCTTTTGCAGTCTAACTCCATAAGCCATGTGGCATCTCTTCCACTGCATTCTATTAGTGAAGGAAGTTATAAAGATCTGCCCCATTTCAAGTAAAGGAACAGAGGTCCCCACCTCTCAATGGGTTGTCAATGTCGTCTTGTAAGATAAACCTTGGGCATGGGAGATAGAGCAATTCAGCCATCTTGGGCATATACTTTCTGTCACTATCACCTTCAAAAACTGCCAGGTTTCAAAGACTTCTTTGGACTCATTCTCCTTGGCTTCTGTGCCTCCCTCTGCACTTGCCCTTGTACATATAACCCATTGCGGAGCCCAGAACACCTTACACGCACCCACCTTCTCAGGGAGAGCTATGCTCAGTGAGTTCCAGATGGTCTTCAGGCTCCTTCTAAAGGAAAACAAATAAATGTCATAAAGCAAATGCCATCTCAAAAGGGCTCCCTGCTACAAACGATAACTCAACAATACTAATTTCAATAACCCCTCAGAGCTATACACTGCTTTATAGTTCACATGGTGGTTTTGCTTGCATAGGCTCATTCAATCGATAAGCTCCAAGATGACTTTTCTGATGAGAAAAGTAAATAAATAAAAAAGTTCACAGTGTTAAGTACAAACATGGCTCAAAAAATTGCTCACACTGTACTTCCTCGGCCCAAGTCTGCCTCACTGAATTATATTCATTAAGAGCCAGCCCCTCAGGGGCTGACACCCTGGCAGGCAATTCATTTCCATGTCAAGTGAGGTGGGAGAGGAAACCAGGTAAGAAGGCAGCTTATATAATCAGGAAAGGGAGGTTCTGGCAAACCTGCGTTAATGTTCCCAAGCTAAAGATCCTTCAGGAGCTGGATGATTTGAAAGCAGAAAAGCGTCAAATAAATTGACTGAGCTTTTAACCCTCAGGCAAACATCAGTGATTCATTGCCGAGAATTTTCATAACTCCCTCTTGCAGCCGTGTGTCCTGCTCTCCAGCCGTAGGCCAGGTCCACCTCCATGAGGGACAAGAGTAAAGCAGCGTTCTGGGAAGCCAAAGCTGAGTACAACTCCAGACATCTCGAGCACTGTGGAGACTCTAGACCCTAACTGTGGTGAAGAGTCACTATTTGCCTCAACCAGTTACACTTGTCAAAAAGCCTGAATCATTAATGCTGAGATTTGGAAGGGGTTCCCTGTGGCCAAGCATCCCCAGAAGATGTTTGGTATGTGCTAGATGCAGAACTCAAGTCTTTGCAGGTATGCATCACTCAAGTTGAATAAAATGAGTAAATTAATTTTAATTATTAATATTGCTAATTATTAATATTGCTAATTATTAATATTGCTAATTATTATTGTTTTTCATTTAATTAATTAGCATGTTTTTAAGTATCCACCATGGCCTCCTGGAGTTTATATTCTTTGAGGACCATAGTTTTAAAGCTAGGACTAAAAAATATTTCTGTGGGATCCTAGAGCCTGACACATGAAACACAAAACCACAGAACCCCAGACTGGTAATCCTGATGTCTTGACCTGAAGATTTAGTTTCAGGTGTCTAAGCCTTCACATTGGGCTGTAGGGCACAGCAGACCAACCTAAGGGTTTAGTGTATAATTATATATTTTAGACAGGGTCTCTCTGTGTATTTTAAGCCACTTTTGAACTAGGCCAGTTTCTAGGGTAGCCCAGGCTGCACTAGAACTTGCAGAGATTCTCTTATCCCAACCTACCCAGTGCCGGGATTATAGGTGCATGCTACTATGCCCAGCTGCTTATAGTATATTTTGGTAATCTGCAGAGACAACTCAAAGGAGTAAAATGGAGAGGCTCAAATGGCTATGTAAAGAAATGTCAGGGTTAGGGAGCCGCGGGTGGGTAGCGCCAGTCTTCGGGCTGGCTAGCTTCCTGCCTGGTGGCTCCCGGAGGGTGGGCCCCCAGCACACGAGGAGCCTCGGGTGGGGAGCACTGGTCTTTTGGGGTCTTCGGCCCGGCGACTCACTCCCCACCTCGTCGTTCCCCAGAAGGAGGGCTCCCGGCGCACAGGGAGCCGCGGGTGGGTAGTGCCAGTCTTCGGGCTGGCTAGCTTCCTGCCTGGTGGCTCCCGGAGGGTGGGCCCCCAGCGCAGGGGGAGCCTCAGGCGGGGAGCACTGGTCTTCGGACCGGCGACTCACTCCCGGCCTGGTTGTTCCCTGGAAGGAGGGCTTCCAGCGCACAGGGAGCCACGGGTGGGTAGCACCAGTCTTCGAGCTGGCTAGCTTCCTGCCTGGTGGCCCCCGGAGGGAGAGTCCCTGGCACATGGGGACCATGCGGCGGCGAGCGCTGTTGCGGGCCGGCCCTTAGGCCGGCTGCCACTGCTCAATTGAGATCTATCATGACACAGAGAAACAGTGACACAATTGGCCCACCATGCACTGACTGCAGTTGCCCACCCACGGATGTGTGTGAATCATTGAAACTTTGAACAACCCCTGGGAATATATGCCATACAACGGGATGCTCTTGCTCCTGCCATTGGGAACCAGAAAGGTCCAGAGCCAGCAGAGGAGCAGCTGCTGAACAAGGACTCAGAGAACATGAGAATGCAGACTAAGCCCATGGAGTCAGAGGTCCAGTGGACTGGGGTCACGAGAGCCGCTCGGAAGCTGTAAACCAGGAGGACCTTGCACAATACCTGCAGAGACTCATTGGAAGCCATTCTTCCCCTGACAGTACAGGCTGTGGTGGAGCTCCGGAGAAGTCTGCAGCAGGATTCCTGCTGCCTATGCCGACAGTTGGGGAGAGAACACTAACTGGTTGTGGGGTCCCAAAGCAATGGGAAGCTGGAGAGAAAAAGCTACAAAGAATGGCTTTCACCCCAGATAGCTCACTTGAGATGTTAGTAAGAATTGCCTCCTCAGCATTCTATAGCAATGATGAGGAGGCCAAGGAGAGAAAACAAAGAGACCGAGAAAAAGCAGCTGCTTTTGCTGCACCACTAAGAGAAACAGATCCCAGGTCTGATTCCCAAGAAGAACTTGACAGCTGCATTCATCTGCTACCACTGTTAAAAGCCAGGCCACCTCAAGAGGAACTGCCCTAAGAGGCCCCATGGGCCATGCCCTGGATGCAAAGGAGACCACTGGAGGTCGGTCTGCCCTCTGAGGTGGAGGCCCCAGAGCTCAGACCCATGCTACCAGTTAGTCCAACAGGAATGAGAGGGCTTGGGGCATGGTCTGCCTTCTCCCTCTGGCCAGACTGTCATCTCCATCGAGGAGTCCTGGGTAATCATGACTATGGAGGAACAAGAAAACAGCCTGTTGCTAGACACAGGTGCAAGTCTCTCGGTCCTTCTTTTCAATCCTGGCCTTCCTGCCAGCCATCATACCTCAGTGAAAGGAGTCACTGGTGAGGAGGTAATATGCTATTTTTGACAACCCTTAGGCTGTAACTATTTAATAGATCCTTTTTGCATATCTCTGTCTTCCTGAGAAACCACTTTGAAGATACCACCATGTATTACAGCAGCCATTGATATTTTCCTAATCTATCCATAACTGCGTAAAGTTTGTAATGTTCCTATTCTATTTCATAAATGGATGTATGTTTATTATTATGTGTTTCCTACAACAACCATTGAGAATAGTTAATGATTTTTCAATAGGTCACTCATGTATAGCTCTATTTATTTTCTTTAGAAGCCACTTTGAAGATACCAAAGTATAGCACAACAACTCTTGATAATCTCCTACTCTTTTGTCTCTAACTCACTATTATTTGTCTATTTGTTTTCCTGAGAAACTATTTTGTAGATAATAATATGTAAAACGATAACTATTGATAATTTCCTAACATTTTGTCTGTAATTTGCTAAGTCCCCCCTATTATAATGTTATCCTTCTTTTACTCTTTAAAATAAAAAAAAAAAGAAATGTCAGGGTTGAGTTTTGTACCCCAGCCCTGACACTTACTGGCTGTGTGACCATAGTTGAGTTACTTCACATCAAAGAGGGAATAAAATAATTAAGGAGATGATGTGCTTGCACAAAGGGCCTGCCCAATAGGAAACAGTCATGCAATGCTTAATGAGGATGAAGATGAGGATTAAGATGAAAGTTGGGAGGAGGGACTTCAAGTGGCAATCACAACTTGGGAATCTGGGATGACAGTCAGTTACAGACAGTTCCCTAGCTTACGATGATTTGACTTACGATCTTTGTATTTTATGATTGTGCAAAGGCAGTACAAACTGAGGAGAAACCATACTTCAAACTTTAAATTGACATCATTTCCTGGACTAGTGATATGCAGTGTGATACTCTGTCCTGATGCTATGCAGAGCAGGAAGGATCCACGGCTCAACAGCCAGGTAATCCCAAAAGGAAACTACCAATACTGTAAGTATGTGGTGCTGTTCAGCAGGTGTATTAAATGTATTTTTCAATTCATATTTTCAACTTAAAGTGGGTTTATACAGACACAACTCCATTGTAAGCAAGGGACTGTCTGTACAGTGCAAAACAAAATGAGGAACAAGACACACAGGCTAGAGGTAGACTGAAGGTTACCCTAAACCAGGATGAAGACAGAAGGTCAAATGTCAGGAAGGTCAAATTCAGTTTACTGTTTCACTTATTTGTCCATCCAGTCATTCAACTAGTATTTCCCATGTCCCCTCTACATGGAACATGCTTTGTGGCACCTGGAGCAGTATAGGGACCAGTACTAGCTAAGGAAGGAGGGCAGAGGGGCAGTCAGGGCACAGCTGTTATCAAGAATTGTGGGCATCCCAGAAGCCCATCAGCAGATGACTGCATAAGGAATAGTGGACTATATTCACAGTGGAGTAATATTCATTGATTAAAAAAAACAAAATTGGGGCTGGGGATTTAGCTCAGCGGCATAGCACCTGCCTGGCAAGCGCAAGCTCGTGAGTTCCATTCCGGTACCGAAAAAAAAAAAAAAAAAAACAAATTAAAAATAAAAAAAATAAAAAGAACAAAATCATGTCATTTTCAGGAGAAAGGATGGACTCAGAAAGACAAATATTACATGTTTTCACCCACATGTGGAATCTGAGAAAGAGAGGAGAAATAGAGAAAGAGGAGAAAAGAAGCAGGAGGAGGGTGGGGGAAAAAGAAGAAATGGAGGGGAAAGAGGATATGAAAGCAGAACAGGGACTGTTAGGGAAAGACAAGGGGACAGGAGTAGGGTGTATAAGAACAGTGGATATAATCAAAGTACATTATTTGCATATATGGGAATATCACTACAAAATCAATTATTTTGTATGATTACTTATGTTGCTACTGATTATAATTTTCAAAGAGGGGAAGAAACATCTGGGAACATCAGTCCAGAGGTTTGGGGGTCTGCAGAGAATGGACACAGAGTTCTCCCCCATAGTTCAAGCAACCTCACAAGTCAATCTG